TCAGGACATCGCAGCCGATCTCACGTTCACGTCGCTGAATGAGCTCGACGTAGGCCTTCATACCCTCCTGCGAGAATGCTTTGGCGAAGAGGTCATTGATGTACGCGTTCGAGTGCAGACCCGCGAGCTAATACCGTCATCAGCATCCTTGGGTATGTCAATGAAACAGGCGGCGGCTTACCGTAATGAACTGCCAGCAGAAACCGAGTTTGCCGAGCTCCCACACGAATGCTTTCATGTCCTGGGTCGTCAGGCCAGCCGCCTCCCAGTTGAACGACGGGCTCAGGTTGTACGCCAACCACTGCTGGGGGTAGACGGCGTGCACGCCATCCGCGAACTCCTTCGCCTGCGAGTAGATCGGCTTCTTCGTCTCCATCCAGAGCAGGTCCGCGTACGGCGCGAACGCAATCGCACGGTTCACGGCGCACTGCGTGCCGCCCTGGTAGCGGTAGTAGCCCTCGCGTGTCCGCGGCGCGTCCCAGTCCCAAAACGGCACGCTCCTCAGGCCGAACTCCTTCTTCGCAACGGTGATGGCGTCAGGCCATGAGAGATGAGCGATGCGGCGATGGAACTGCTCGAGCTTGACCTGATTTGCGCTTGTCTGCGCCTTGACGGCGTTGGCGAGTACTTCGGGGAACAGCTGGCACTTCGCAGCGGCCAACCACTGCTCCTCGATCGCCTCCAGGGCAGGCCCCGTCTTGCCTGCTCGCTCAGCCTCATTGAGGACAGTGTTGAGGTGCGTCAGATCAGGGTTCGTCGAGCCAAGGATGAACGCGTGGTCGCGCTCGTCCACGTTCGTCGTGATCAAGGTCGCAGCCTCGGAGTCCGTGCGGGCGATGACAAGGTTGTTCACGCCCATGATGTCGAACTGCAAGCGGATAGCCACGAGCCGGTTTATGTGCTCCTGGATGGGCACGAGTACCTTGCCCGCCATGTGCCCGCACTTCTTCGTCCCCGGAGCCTGGTCCTCAATGTGCACGCCCGCGGCGCCCTTCTCGACGAACATTTTCGCGAGCTTCATGGTTGCGGTGAGGCCGCCGTGACCGGTGTCGGCGTCGGCGATGATGGGGCGGAGGTAGTCGATCGTCGGCGTGTTCGCGAGCTCGGCCTCGGACAGTTCCGATCGCCCCTCGGCCTGCTTGCGGTCGTGGAACAGTTGTGCCATGAAGAGATGCTCGACCTTGTTGGGGACGGTGTTCGAGGGGTAGTCTAGGACGCCTTAGTTAAGCCTCAGAACCACGTAGCAACGCAAAGAGACTTACCGGCAAGATCTGGGCCTGGCTCGTTTGAGCTCGACGCCGTGCTCGATGATTGCCAACCGGAGACGTAGACGGTCTCGAGGTACTTCGCCATCTGGGTCACTTGCACAGGGTCGAGTCTGCTCAGAAGTGTTAGTACAGAACCTCGTCCGCGTTCGGCGTCACTCACGCGCCATATGTGTGCGACGGTGTCCCATTCTTGTAGTGCTCCGACAGAGATGCCCAGAGCTTCTTCGCGAGAACGTCGGAGGGGTATGAGATGGGCAACGTTCCCCTCTTCGAGACGACCTGCGCGGCGGTGTACGGTCGCTTGACGCGGTTGAACCGCGAGTCCTATGACGCAGTCAATGAGCAAACCACTCAATTCAACAAAGGAGCCCACCAACCTTCCACCACTGCTCAACGCGAGCAACCTCAGCCTGGAAAGCAGCGCGTTCGTTAGTCATGGCGGTCGTCTGTCAAGTGCAAATGAGAGGGGAGGCACTCCAAGGAAGAAGAGGGGATCTCGGGCGGTCGCGCTCCTGCAAACCAGGCATGTTAAGGACCTGTCCTGCACCACCGCTTCGTCTAGAACCGATCATCTGGAGGGGACGGGCGCGCATGTGATTGGCCTGACATACCATATAAGGGAGGCTAAACCTTTTCCGAGTGCGGGGTAGACGTCCTAGGCGCCCAATCTTAGTCCCGCCTCCGCCCCGCACTCGGCGACTCAACGCTCCCTGCGCCGGTGCGCGCAGTTACGGGCGCATCCCTTCGGTCCTTCGGCCGACGCGTCGTCTGCCCCGAAATCTGCGGGGTAAAGGTAAGGGGAACGCGGGGAACGCATACCGCGGTCACTGGCCTGCCCTGGACTGCCAGTGGGAGCGTCGCCCGCCGTTTATACGCTCTATCGCCATGTTCGTGCGCAGGCGCATGAGTTATTTGAGTGAGTGAGCACTCACCAGTTCAACGAGCTTCGGACTCGAGTCCCGCTCAGGCGTCAACGGCCTGAATCAACACGCGGACATTGACCGGGACTCCTCACAAAGGAAGCGGTCGGTCTACCGGAAACGAAGCAACTGAAATTCATAGTTGGACATAACCTAGCCATGCACCGTCCGCCTTCCCCAGGTCATCCTGGACGACACGTCCGAAAGCCCCGAAGCCCAGTCTCGCCGCCACCAGACGAGCAAAACGCGGATCGGCCTGTGAGCGTTGCGGGGTTTGTAGGCAGCCCAGACGAGGAAATCTCGATCGCGTCCTGGACTAACGTACGGGTCAGCACATCAACAATGGCACCCGTACGCTCTGGGGTGTCCCGCGCGGAGCCCCGCACTAAGAGACACAAGTCGGCGCACAGCCCGAGAGTTCCAAGGCACACGCGCATCATCATTGCTATCATGGATCACCGCCTGTTGCCGTCGTACACCAGCCCCGCGAGCCCGTACCGCACGACGAACGCAAACACGCTCCCCGCCACCTGCAACAACAATACGTCACATACAATCACATGAGCACCATACAACTTCCATGCACGCTCAGCTGGACAAGAACGCACCTGCGTCGCGATCAGCACCCTCACGAGGCTGTCCTCGCGCATCGGGCCAAATCGGAGGAGGAATACATTCAGGATCGTCAAATTGGTTGTTTCCGAGATCACGCCTGTCTTGGGATCCTCCGTGAGCCGTACGAAGCCTAGAATTGCGAAGACGCGCAGGACGATTGTGGCGAGACGCGAGGGCGTGTGCTCCTTGAAGGATGCCGTCGACGGGTAAAGGAGGCCCGTCTCCGCGTCGAACCTGCATTGCGCAATGGGAAATAGTCTGTTAGTCAATGAGAGGGTCGCGGAGATGACAAGCGAGACAGACCTGGGTACGCGGTGACGTGGGCAGGGGACGAGGCCGAATAGCTGCGGGCAGGAGAGGACGAAGTTGAAGATCTGAGGCAGGAAGAGCAGAAGGAGTGTCTTGGAAAAGTGAGCTTGAATCCCTACAACCGCGAAGGCCATGCCCGTCACATAGCATAGTGTGTCGCCAGGGAAAGCTCGCGCTGGATACCTATATATATGAGATGAGCAGGCATGTTTAGATAGGACGAGGCGCAAGAAACGTACCAGTTGTGATACATGAACCCAGCACATACGCCCACGAGCGGGAGCATAAAGTACAGGCTGAATAGGTGTCGCTCAACGAGTACCTTGCTCCCGTATGACATTCCTGCGCTCCATACGCCGCCTACTTCCAGCTCCCTGCCACGACCAAGCAAGTGCAAAGGGATACGGAAGTCTATCGGCCAGGGGAGGTACAGCAGGTCGTTCAAGATGACCGACAGTGCGATGATCAACGCTTGGCTCACTTCTGAGCCATTGATCCCCGCGAGGATGTTGATGCTGTTGGTGCAGAACGTGGATAACAGGGACATATAAACATAGTACAGCGGTCCTAGGCGCATATATTCAGGTTCATGTGATCGGCTCGAGTGAACACTACATACCGAGGTTCAGCAATGATCCCAAGAGCCATCGCAATGGGATCGGCACGACAACGTCAGTTGCGCCGCGCTCGGAGTAGTAGACCATCAGGAGTGGTATAGATGCAATCACTGGAATCGGTAGCTTGTGCCGCCATCGGATGTCAAAGACGTCGTCGAGGAAGCCGAGCATCGTCGCCATTAGGAGGGATAGTAATGATGAGAGGTAGACAGATAGCTGACGAACAACAGTCAGTAAGCGATTCTCTAATTCACGACACAACTGAGATTGCAAGCTGATGCTTCCAGAGCTTTATGCCCAGCCCGCAGCAACGACAAACGAACGAAACTGGTCGTGCAGACGCTGCTTACCTGGTGGTGCGGGAACTCATTGATGACCAGACCCTCCCGCAGCTTCCTTGTTTGATCATACTGACTATTGAAGAAGTCGGAGAAGGCGAATGGGATAAATAGGATTAACAGCAGAATATATATTGATGCGCAAACGAGCCCAAGGGACTCCGGTCTACACGAGTTCGTTCAGTCGAGGCGAACAGTAGGTCTAGTGGGCACATACATAGGATCATCGTATGTTTTGAGGAGATCACGGCCCTTGAGACTGGCACGCACGAAGGTGTTCCCGAGCAAAGGAATGAAGTACAACGCGCCCAAGAGTGCGAGTATCGAGAAGCCCAAAGACGCATGTAGGGCAGGCAGCGGCGGCGAAGGGTCAAGAAGAGGCCGCAGCAAGAGCCACAGCGCGACCGGAAGAAAGGAAAAGATGAGGATGCGGGGCACCGGTCTCGGGCGCAATGGCTGAGCCATCACTTGACACCTCTCCGGCTTCGTTGTGCGAGATGGTGAAGGCAAGAGAGTAGCTCAGAATCGTAGACAAGAAATATTGTAGGAGAAGTCGGCCTGGCCTGGCCGGCACCACCGTGTAGAGGGTGGGAAGTCGTGGTCCGACTGGTCGTGGATGAGAGCGTCAAGGAAGGGTATGCCTGTCGCCAACGTGGACGTCCGACGCGTCGTGGTAGGCCGTGGTGTGAGCGGTACGCGGCGGTCACGTGGAGCGTGTGGACCGACGCGAGTAGCGGCCTTCGAGTCTGCGTCTCCTGGACTTCAACTCCAACGGTCTCGCAGCCTCGCCCGACTCAGTCTCCTCCCGGTGCTCACGCTGGCCTCATGAGCCGGCATGTGCAAGCCACGGCTCGCGCGGTGCTCGCGCAGTCGTCTGCCGCCGCACCCAGCACGTCGACGGTACGCAAACCCTGCGTATACGCCGGCTGCACGTACGTCGCGACTGGCCCAGACCAGAAGGCGGTCACTCACACCATGGGATCGCATGTTTCAAACGTGCATGGAGCGACGACGACTATATGGTATGGAGGTGAGTTGTCTGTTTCCTGTCCGACGCGCTCAGCGCGAAGAGATGGCTATGCGATTGAATCGTCCTCTGCCCGAGGAGAAGAGATAGATGTCGTTCACTTCAACGACTCCGTAGTCAAATAACTTTGTATCTGTTTATTGTCATTAGCCCAGTCAGGCAGCTAAGGCTGCATGGCGAGCACATCATCCCGGTGGCCTTTGTGCCCAACTGTGTTGCCATACCACTCTAGCGTTTCACTAAGATCCCATTGAGGCTTCAAGCCATCGAGAGTGGCGACTTCTTGATATGTTTTGCTGCTTTTTTGCCAATGCCATGGAGTCCTTCGCTCTTTCTCGCTCACTAATCCGTGTTTCACCAACAGCAAAGCAGATCAAAATTGAGCGTGAAATCAAAACGCAAGAGATGCGTTGCCCATGCGGGTACTCGCATGTCAACTCTGCCCGTGTAAGGATGCATGCTACGAAGGAACACAAAAACAGTGGTCTCAAGACCGCCTTGCTGGCGAGTAGGCAATCTGCACAACCTAGTGCCTCGTCGTCGCGCACTCGCTCAGTCTCACCGTCCTCCATCGAGAGCTCATCACCCACCCGGTCCGTCTCTCCCATACAGAACTCGGACACTCCGCCGACGTCTCATACATCGGGCCGGAAACCCAAAGCATCCAAGCCCTTCCTCGCAGGGAGCAGATTGTGGCGAGCGCAAAGCCACAGCGACATCTCTTGGTATGGCGGAGCAGCGGCTCCTAAAGCCTGTGGCACCTCGACGACCGCCATGCACCAACTCTCCGTCTCAGTCCCGAAGTTGCTCACGGAGAAAACCCAGCAGACAAACAATCGCGAGGCCATGCGTCACACAAACAAGCTGTATCTTCTCATCGATCAAGTATCCTCCCATCGACGTCGGTGTCCGGTGCCAGCTCCAGCACGTCGCGTAAGGTGTCGAAGACTCCAGCGACCTCATCTGCCGCTGTAGCCAAGGGGAGTAGCTCAAGTGCAAATAGGTCGGTCCCGTTTCGCACATTGCACACAGCATTCGTTCTCATACTCTCGTCAGGATCATGTCTATCGGAAAGTCTGCTATCGTCCACCGCACCACGCAGCTGGACGCCCCATCAACAGGAAGCAAGAGCCCAGGTCTCCCCAGCCACAGGCACAAGCGCGCAGCCCAAAGCGCGAAAGTCTCGCACGCCTCCGAAGCTGCCTCTTCCTCTCGCAGGCCCGCAATCGTTCTGCCCACCGACTCGTCCGACAACGACTCAGTCGCCACAGCCGAGCTGCTCGCTGCGTTCGCTCCCAGGCTCTCCGAGTCTACCCACTGCAAGACGTGCCACCGCGCGCTCGAGCTGCGGGACGGCCGCTACAAGAATTCGTGGAGTGCAGGGAGAAGTCGCGTGTTACCAGCGCAAGTACCACCAGGAGCGTCAGGAGCGCACTGCGCGCGTGAGCTCCCTTCTGTCGCGGTTTGAAACCCCCCCAGGCGGACGCTCGTCCGCGAGCGCGGCCCCGCACGCGCACAGGCATCCTCGTCCGAGCCGGTCCTGAGCCTGGTCGACCGACGACACGATGGACGTGGATGTAGGCGTGAACGTGAAAGTGCAGACACAGAAGCCCCGCCGCGCGCAGGCTAAGGCCTCCGTGCCTAACGTAAACATCCGACGCGTGTGGGAGAAGTGCCCAGTTCCAGACGGAGGAAGCGTTTTTCGAGGCGGTCGAGCAGAGCGTTGTCGAGTGCGCGAGCGCGAGCCGGGAGAGCGCTTCGAGTTTTGCGGCGGGTACGCGGTCGTGGCAGGCAGGAAGGATGCGGATGCGGCGATCGTTCGAAAGATATGCGGGAAGCTCGTCTTGAGGAGTGCGCCGTAAGTGCCTTCTTCCCTTTGTCTACAAGACTTCGAACCGTGTGGTCCGAATTGGATGCTGACGGATGGTCATGCACAGGATATCGAGGTTGTCATGCTTC